TATTCACGTCTTGATGTTTTTCAAAATGATACACATACTCCATTCTTAACCTACATTCTTATGCTTTTGTACTCATTCCAGAAGTAATTATCAGAAGCAATTTGTCTCTTGTCAGTAAGCAAAAGTGTTATGTGAATTTGCAGAAAGTACCATTAACATTGAAGTAGATCACCAGAGTGTACTCTATTCTTTGAGTTACTCACTCGACTACTTTTCCTTAATCGTACTGCATGTAGAGATCTTTCTCTTTCTGAGAAATTATACTCAAATGCAAGCTTTAATAGCATCATCTATTCATGTTTTGATATGGACATTATATGATTTGATGAAAATGTTTACATGAAGCTGTTAATTAATTGAAATAATTTTGTGAAAAATAATTTTAATACAGACATCCATATAATTTTTATCCCTATTTCAGTTTACCCTTCAAGAATTCACTTACTTATTATGAAGTATTTTTGCATATTAAATTTGCTGAATTACATGCACACACTGTGAAATCATTTACATCTTATGTTTGTCACTTCAGTTAATGAAAACCGTTTTAAATAATATCAATGTGATCATGTGGGAAGAACAGGATTTGCATAATTTCATCATTTAGGAAAAAATAGACTTTAACATTTTCTTCCTAGGTATCAAGATGCTGTTAATTCCTTTTTCAAGTCAATTTAACCAAACACATTTCAAAAGTGCAGAACAGGAAAAGAAACATAGTTTTAGCCACGTAATGCATAACACACAGAATCACAACGAAACTTTATAAAAATGGTATAACTTAACTTTTTTAAATGAGAGCTTTTCTTCACATGAGCATGATTCAGATTTTTTAACTGGAGGCAGATCACATCTGTCGAGTAGAAAAACAATGGCTAAGATCAAGTGTACCGTGCATCACACTTCAATGAGTTGTTACAGTTTTCCATTTTTTTTTTTTTGAGAAAAGTTTGTCAGCAAAGACTTATTTTTATAAAGCCATGAAAATTTGGCTAAAGTACATTCTTTAAGTTTAATATTTTAACATTTGGCTTCTGTAATTAGCCTCACAATGCAAAGAATTGCCCCTCGAAATTAGTTAAGAAGGCATTTATGAGTCTTTTTTTTTTTTTTTTTTTTTTTTTTTTTTTTGCGGAACCAGGGATTGAACTTAGGCCCTTGCGCTTGCCAGGGAAGCACTTACTCCACTGAGCCAACTCCCCAGCCCCTATTTTTTTTGAGACAGGGTCTTGCTGTGTAGCTCAGGCTTGATTTGAACTCATTGTGTAGCCCTGGGTGTCCTGTAGCTCACAGGAATCCTCCTTCCTTGGCCTCCTGAGAGCTGGAATTGAAGGCTTGCACCTCTGCACCTTATAAGTCTCCTGAGAGCTGCACACCACAGCGGAAATATTCCCAGCAGACGGCGCGCCTACCGAGCACCCCCCAACACTCCCTCTCACTGGGGCCAGGGAGTAACTGCTCTGTACAACTCTTAGCTTCAGGATTTGGGTCTTTAACAAAAGCTGAGATCCAACCTTGTGATTTTTGAGCCAACTGCACAGGGACACAGAAAGAAATAAAGAAGTAAAAGGACATTAATGGAAAAAGCAGGCTTTAAAGATTGTTATAGAAGTTTCATAGCACTTTGAGCAATGGCAGGGTCATTCTAATTAAAATATGGCTTCCAGGACAAAACAGCTGTGAAAAGTACAGACATGATTTTGGTGATTTATAAAACTTAGTTTTGAATTTTTTCAAAATTCAACATTTTTATATTATCTCCTGCCTGCAGTTCACAAGGGCTTACTATGTTAAAACTAATTCTGTCCTTTAAATAATAATTCAATTTTTATAACTACTTGTCTTATAAATGTAACCTAAGTCCCTTTTCTCTCATGACCAAATCTCTAGCATCTTACCCAATGAGAGAATTTTGGCTTCAGCTTCACTTGTGTAAATTTCAGTTGAAAGTGCGGATTAATTTAAATCCTTCCTGTAGATGCTTCTCCTGTCTCTCACTGTCCCAGCGCCACACACAGCGTGAAAATGGAACCCCTGATCTTTCTCATGGCTATACTACTGATCCTATATCACACTCTCAGCAATGTGTATTCCCTTTCCTTTCTCTCTCTTTTTGTTTGTTTGTTCTGTAATTAGGACAGGGTCTGCGGGGTCTATAGGGTCTCACTACGTAGATCAGACTCGTAGTGATCCTCCTGTTTTCAGCCTCCCAAGTGCTGGGATTATAGGCATGTGCCACCACGCCCAGTCTCCATCACCATCTCACCACTCCCCTGGGACAGGGCCAGCATAGCAGGACACGGATGGAAACATGGCCACTGTGCTCTGCCCAAGCAGGCACTTTGGTCTCCTGAGCTATCAGGCTGGCCCTCTTTTCCCACTCTCTTTAAAAAAAAATTCTGGATAGTTGAAGAAGTTTAACCATTACCCAACCAAAATGTCCTTCTCATTCATCCTTTGCTCCAGAATTAAAAGGACTGACAGGCAGAGTTCTGCATTCTATCTCATTCAATCTTTTAAAATACCTTCATGTAGAAAAAGCAAACAGGACTGGGGAGATGGCTCAGTGGAATAAGCGCTTCTCTGGCAAGTGCAAGGTCCTGAGTTCAATCCCTGGTTCCGCAAAAAAAAAAAAAAAAAAAAAAAAAAAAGAAAAGAAAAGAAAAGGAAAGGAAAGGAAAGGAAAGAAAAAGCAAACAGACAAAAACACTCACATTGAGATAGTACCTAAGTTCATCTAGTAGCAAAGGATTAGGCTTGTGGCCAAAGGGGGAAAGGCTGGATTCTACGGAACCAGACTCTTATTCAGTATGGATCTTATCCCGTGTTCCTCTGCATGGTAACATTTCATTAGCGCTGTTGCCTTCAGAAGACTGTAGGTGGCAAAACTGCTGGCTTACTGTGCTACTGATTCATATCAGGTAAGGGACCCATATCACGAAAGCATGGTACGCCTGAAAGACTGAAAAAAATGTTTTTAAAAGCCAACTGCCCCAAGGCCAACCTCACACCAATGAAAATAGTAATTTCCAGGCATCAAAAAATCCTTCCTGGCCATTCTATCCCAGGGCTGAGAACTGTACGATGCCAACTTGTTTCTAAAGACTTGCAGTCCAGTAGGTCATTTTCTTTAGCCTTCATGAGTAAGCTATTTGGTTTATTTTTTTTTAAAGGTTGATTTTGGACAATCTTTATTAACATGTTTAGCTCAACAAAGGACTGTAAGAAAATCTATACAGATTCAATCTATTTATAAAAACTTCTCAAAATGTTTTCACTGAGCAAATTGTGAAAATTTATCTTTTGCACAACATCTAGATTGCAGACAGTGGGGCTGGGGAGACATAGCTCAGTAGAAGAAGCGCTTGCCTGCCAAGCACAAGAGCCTGAGTTCAATCCCAGTTCTGCCAAAAAATAAAAAATAAGTAAATAAATTGAAGACAGAGGATCAGGGCAAGAATTGGAAGCAAAGGCCTATGCTTCCTAGTTGGATGTTTTCATTGATGTAATTGTGATTGCATATCAGAGAAAAATGGAAGAGTATTTCAAGACTAACCTAAGTTCATAGAAGATCACTTTAAATTTGCCTTTAATTGAGATAGTACCTATCATCAAGATGAGTGAAAGCCTCACGTGAAGATAAACTATTTCACTCATATTCCTAGCTCATCTTTGAAGGTATTCGAGGTCCAGGAATAGAAGGTGATATTGCCATTGATGATGTATCCATTGCAGAAGGAGAATGTGCACAGCAAGACCTAACTACTAAGAGTAAGTGCCTCTTCCTATGCTTGGGGAAGTATGACTGGTTTCACTGTTATTAAATTACATTTTCATTTGATTCAACAAATATAGTCTTTGTTTGTTTAGAAATTTCTTCTGCTATGATCTGAGAGTTTTGAAGATTTTTTAATTCAAAGAATT